AAAAAAAAAAAAAAAGAAATGGACCTAGAAATATATCCAAACCAATGAACTCAACTATTTTGTGAAGAAACTGCATAAGCAATTCAAAGGAGGAAAGATAAGGATAGTCTTTTTTAACAAATTCTGCAGGAGGAATAAAGACACCTATAGGAAAAAATAAAAAATTTTAAAAAAGAAGCTCAACTTAAACCTCATACCTTATCTAAAAATCAACTCAAAATGGAGCATAGGCATAGAACTAAACTTAAAGCTATAAAATATTTTTAATGGCAAAAGGCTTCAGGATTAGTGTTAGTGGAAGAGTTCTAAATATGACACTAAAGGTGTGATTCATTAACAAATGATAAATTGGACTACATCAAAATTTAAAACTTTGCCTGTGAAAAACCCAGTTAAAAGGATGAAAAGACAAGCTACAGTCTTGGAGAAAATATTTGCAAACCATATATCTGACAAAGAATGCATATCTACAATATATGAGGTATGACCAAACAATGCAGTGAATGCTTAAATTTAAAAAATTTATTACAGTGAAAGACACATTGTCATTAATCCCCCTCAAAATACTCCCCCTCGCTTTGAACACACTTATCCCATCGTTCTTGCCACTTCCTGAAGCAGTTCTGAAAGTCCTCTTTCGTGAGTGTCTTTAGTTGAGCTGTCATGGCTGCCTCGATGTCCTGAATTGATTCAAAACATTTACCTTTCATGGTCGTTTTGACTTTCGTGAAGAGCCAGAATTCACACAGTGCCAGATCTGGTGAATAAGGTGGATGAGGACACACTGTAATGTTTTCATTTGACAGAAATTGCCATCTACCAGAAGCAATGTGTGACACGGAGCATTGTCATGATGGAGAATATATGGCACACTTTTTGTAATTTTATTTTATTGGGGAACAGTATGTTTTTCCAGGACCCACCAGCTCAAAATCAAGTAGCTGTTTTCAATATAGTTGTGGAGGACGTTTTTCCAGAACCCATCAGTTCCAAGTCAAGTAGTTGTTTCAATCTAGTTGTGGAGGGCACAACTCAGTGGCCCATGTGGGGATCGAACCGGCAACCTTGGTGTTATGAACCCTGCGCTCTAACCAACTGAGCTAACCACCCGCCCCTACAACACACTTTAAAACACACCTTTTCTTAACTGTAGCTCACAGCCAACTGATTGCACCAAATAAGTTGGAACTTGTCACACTGTCGCTAAGGCTTGATGTGCTACTTCCCACATTGAAGATCCCTGCCTTTCTGTTGTATGGCACTAGGCAGCATCATTGACCATATTTTGTGATCATCACGGAAAGGCTCTGTGTCACACATTGCTTCTGGTACAGCAATTTCTGTCAAATAAAAACATTACAGGGTGGCCGGATAGCTCAGTTGGTTAGAGTGCGGCACTCACAACACCAAAGTTGCTGGTTCGAGTCCCACATGGGTCACTGAGATGCACCCTCCACAACTAGAATGAAACAACTACTCAACTTGGAGTTGGGGTGGCCGGTTAGCTCAGTTGGCTAGAGAGCAGTGCTCATAACACCAAAGTTTCCGATTTAATCCCCATGCTCTCCACAACTAGATGGAAACAACTACCTAACTTGGAGCTGATAGGTCCTGGAAAAACACACTTTTCCCCAATAAAAAAAAATTAAAAATAAAATAAAAACATTACGGTGTGTCCTCATGCACCTTATTCACCAGATCTGGCACTGTGCGACTTCTGGCTCTTCCCCCAAATCAAAATGACCACGAGAGGTAAACGTTTTGAATTGATTCAGGACATCGAGGCAGCCACAACAGCGCAACTACAGACACTCACGAAAGAGAACTTCCTGAACTGCTTCAGAGAGTGGCAAGAACAACTGGATAAGTGTGTTCAAAGCGAGGAGGAGTATTCTGAGGGGGATTAATGACAATGTGTCTTTTACTGTAATAATTTTTTTAATTTAAACATTCACCGTATTTGTTATCACACACACCTCATATAAATAACTCTAAAAATCCAACAATGAAAAATCAGTCTAATTAGAAAATAGGCAAAAGACATGAACAGACATTTTACTGGCGAGGGTATACAGATGGTAAATAAGTAAATTCCGAGATCTTCAACATCATTAACCATTACGGAAATACAAATTAAAACACAATGAGTTATTGCTACATATATTACCTATCAGAATGTCTAAACTAAAGAATAATGACAATGCCAAATGCTTTCAGTGAATGAGAAAATGGATCACTCATGCATTGCTGGTGGGAATGGAAAGTGGCACAGCCATTTTGGAAAACAGTTTGGCAGTTTATTTAAAAACTAAACATTCAGGGGGCGGCCGGTTAGCTCAATTGGTTAGAGCGCAGGGCTCATAACACCAAGGTTGTCAGTTCGATCCCCGCATAGGCCACTGAGCTGCGCCCTTCACAACTAGATTGAAACAACTACTTGACTTGGAGTTGATGGGTCCTGGAAAAACACACTGTTCCCCAATTTAAAAACAAACAAACAAACAAAAAATTAAACATTCAAATACCATATAACCCAGAAATTGCATTACTGGGCTTTTATCCCAGAGAAATTAAAAAGGTACTTCCACATAGAAACCTGTACATGAATTACATAGCACATTACTGAATAGAAACAACGGGAAACAATCAAAATGTCTCTCAGGAAGTGAATAAACTGTGGTACATCTGCACCATGGAATACTACTCAGCAATAACAAAGAATCAACTATTGAAACATATGGTTATCCAGATGGATCTCAAAGACATTGTACTGAACAAAGAAAACCAATCTCCAAAGGTCACATACTCTATGATTTCATTTATACAACATTCTCATTATAGAGACTGAAAACTGATTAGTAGTGCCCCACCTTAGGAATGATTGGGAGGCAGGAGGAGGGTGTGATTATAAAATAGTAGCATAAGGGAGATCTTTATGGTGATAACATTGTTCTGTATATTGATTATAGTGGTGGTTACATAAATCTAGGTGTGATAAAATCACTTAGCATTATACATATATGTCATACCAACGTCCATTAGCTGGTTTTGATATTATGCTATGTTTATGTGAGATGTAAATATTGGGAGTAATTGGGTAAAACATAGATGGGTCCTCTCTGTACTGTTTTTGCAATTTCCTGTGAGTCTATAATTATTTCAAAACATAATTTTCAAGACTCAGGTCTAAAAATTTTCCTAATTTTAATAAAAATATCAAACCACAGATCCAAGATTCTCAAAGAACCCCAAGAATACCTTGGATCGTTGTCGTCAAATTGCTGAAAATTAATCACAATAATATTTACTGCCTTTTCATCAGAAACAATGCATGCCAGAAGGCAATAGAATCACATCTTTAAAGTGCTGACAGAAGAAACTGTCAACCTACAATTATACATGCAGCCAAATTACTTTTTAAAAATGAAGGTAAAATGGAGACACTGTCAAATAAACAAAAGCTGAGAAAATTCATCATAAGAAGACTCACACTATCAAAATTATTCACGAAAATTCTTCAGAGTGATGAAAAATTGTAACAGATTGAAACTTGCATCTACACAAAGAAATGAAGAATGTCATAATGGCTAATAGGTGGATAAATATAAAATGTTTTTCCTCATTTTTAAATTTCTTTGAAAGGTTGACTGCTTAAAGCAGAAGTAATGATAATGTAACATAGAGCTTATAACACATAGAAATAAAATGTGCCGCAACAACAGCACAAAGAATGGTAGGTAAATGTTGGTATGCCGTTATGAGTTTTATCTATATATGAAGTGCCATAACATATTAATATGAACTATAATATTCATATATTTATTTTATATACATAATATTGGGTTGTCGGAAAAGTCATGACGTATTTTTTCTGTTTTTCGTTGCAAAAATGCGTCATGGGCAGGCCGAGTGGCTCAGTTGATTAAGAGCTCGCTCAAGGGTTTGAGCTCTGAGCAACAGCGGTTCAAGTCCAGCCCAAGCTGAGTTGCCGCTGAGCTGCCAACAGGTGGCAGGATGACTCAGCTAAAAAAAAAAAAGAAAAAGAAAAATGTGTCATTACTTTTCCAACAACCGAATATATAAGTATATTTGCACATACATACATTCACACATATATGCATATATTCTGAGACAGGGCCCATCTGATTCACTATATGGGTCGGAACAACAAAGTTTATAAACCCCTCACTATGAGGAGAAACATAAAGGATCCACCGGGTGACTCAAGGTAACTTTAAGGTGGGTGACCAAATGACTTTGTTCTTTCCATCTCTTTACCTTTAAACTATATGGCAGTAGTGCTCCCTGACAAGGATAAGATGGAACCCACTGATGAATTTTGCTGCCCCAGCAACTTGTCCCTATTAAACCTCCCCTTGTGTTCACGATGTGTCACTTCCTGCTCAAATCAGGCAGTGGCAGAAGCTCATGGAATCAATCAGAGGTGAAGTTCAATGGTGACAACTGCCTATTCTCTACACTTAACCCAAAAGGCCATTGCAAATAGCCCAAAGACCCACTGAGGGAGATGGACATTATTTCCCAGAAGTAAATACAGCTCAGCCTGTACTTTGGAACAATTGGTCAACCTTGTCACTTGCACAATCTACTAGCAAAGGTTATGCAGTGCCTGAACACGATCATGGCAGAATCACCAGGCCTCATCACCATCTGCCTTTTAGGATATCTACTCAGTGCTGAATGTACAGGTTTGTTTCCTTTTTTTAAACATCGAGTGTGCTTGTCTTTTAGATATAGAAATGTCTGGTGCTGTCTTTTTCACTAAATAATGATTACAGGATTTGACAGCAATGTTTAAGATCCTACTAGTCAGCATGTGGGTTGGCAAAGACTGGTTCTCTGGTAGCTGTGTTTTCTTCATTTTTAAACTAAATAGATTTATGATGCTGATGGTACACTTTTTGAAGGGATATTGTTGGACTTAATGATTTGACAAAGGTAATTTCTCTTAGAAAACAGTCATCTCCTTGGTTAGAAAAATTAAATGTGGGAAAATGTTTTAACGAGGAAACAGCAGACTATGGAGAAAAAATTAACTATGTTTTTGGCTATTTTTACTGACCACTTTGAAATAAAAATGGGAAACATTAAAGCCACAAACAACAGTTTTATTTATACAAAAAGTTTGATTTTAAGATATGTGATGTGTTTCACAATTTTAGAACTATATAATAAGGTATGCCTCTAATTTGAAAAATCCATAAAATTATATACCTTTAATTTAAAGTTTTAGTTAAAACAGACAAACTTTTCATTAGTAAGCTGTTATTTATCACTAATGTTTTTCATGGATTAGTTAGAAATTATATTGTCTTTGATTCTAAACATCTTGGAGTTAATACACGGGAAAACCCAATACTCACTTGAGCTCTTAGGAGAGCAAAGCAGTCCAACAATTGCCGTAAAGAGGAGAAACTTAGTTAATGCATTGTGTATCACGTGGTTTTTTTCACAGCATCAGTGACTTTATGCACTCCCCAAAGGAAGGCACACAGAGAAGGAATTACCCCATAGGCAAACAGCATGTTCTCACAGGAAGCATTTATCACACTTAATTGTCAGACTACTATAATCAAATCTAGTAGCTGACAGTGCCAGGATCAGGGGTGCCAACCCTAAGCATCACCAGAAAGCAGACTGGCCCCATGGTTCCCACTCCAGACATGATGTCAGACTGAAATGCAGAAAAAATGATACAAGAATTCAAAGGTTAAATCCAACTAGCAAAGTGGGTAGAGTCCAGGAATAAAAAAATTTAGCTAGGAAACTTGCAAAGTACGACCTAAAGTTAAGTCTTGACACATATCTAATCAGTGTGAGATCTAGCAGGACAAATGACCTAAGCCCTTCCTTCAGGGTAAGTGGTGAAATGGTGGAGGCCCCCTTTAAAAGGGCTTCTTAGGGGCCAGTGGAGTGGCTCAGTTGGTTAAGAGCTCGTTCAAGAGTGTGAGCCCTAAGCAACAGGGTCTCTGGTTCAATTCACAGCCTGAGCTGAGCTGCCGCTGAGCTGCCAACAGGTGGCAGGATGGCTCAGCTGAAAAAAAAAAAAGAGGGCTTCTGCACCCTTGAAGACCTCCGATATTGGATAAAGGACAGATACGAAGGAAAAAGAGGGACTGGGATTTCAGAGCAATAATGACCAAAAGAGATAAACCTGAAAAGATGCTAGATATATGACCCTAAGACAATACTGCGGAGAAAGGCAGTGTGATTCAATTCTGGAGTCACTGGAGTCAAAGATAATAGGCCCTTGAGGAGAGAACCAGGGAAATTTCCCTAACACTATTATTGATGTAATACTTTCTGCTGCTGTTCAACTGTCAATTGGCTTCAAATAGTAGTTTCTATGAATGATTTACTGAGCTGTTGCATTTTCATGACTGCTGCCCCTAGGCATTATTGCATCAATTTGGATTTTGAAATCAAAGTTGTTCTGTGAAACCAGTTCAGTTTTGTAAAGTGTACAGACTGAAGCTGTCTTTCATTCATTCATTCATTCATTTCATTCATTCATCCGGTCCATACACTTTACAAAACTGAGTGATTACTATGGTGCCAGGTACTGTGGCAAGGTATTAGGGACACGGGGATCAATCAGACTCCCTCTTTAACCCAAAGCACCATGAAGTCAGGACAGAGATTTTCAATATAATGTGATAAAATGTGTACCAGGTGCTAAAGGAGCATAGAGAAAGGAATAAATTAACTGGGGAAACACTTGACAAACAGACAATATTTTGAGTTGGGTCTTAAAAAAATGAGTAGATTCACTCCCCTTACACATGTAATCTAGGGCATTCTATGCAGAGAGGGTCATTCATGTGCAAAGATCCAGACCAGAAAGAATGGGAGGGCTTTCAGGAACTCAGCATGTTTTGAATACTGAATATGACAAGTGAGGCAGTATACCCATTTTACATTGGACCAAGTTAAGCTTCAGAGATTATGTGACTTGCCTAAAATGTCACAGCCAATAGTTGGTAGATATGCGTTTCAAATCCAGGTGTGTCTGATCTGACTGCAAACCCATTCTTCCACTGGAGCACACTGTAAACGGATGCAGACACAGATGCTATTGTAGATGGCCCAGGGCCAGGCAAATGAATTGCCAGAGAGGAGGGTCTTGGAGGATGCTGGCAGGCATCAATATGCAATGACATCCATCTGCAGTTCGGGGGGCATCTCTCCCGCAGTGCTCCGCTGCCTCTGAAGGGAAGGAAGAAGGCTGATCTAGCAGTTGAGATTGCAGGATATGCAGCACTAAAGAAGGGGTGAAGGGAATTGAGAAAGCTGGCAGGTGAAGAGTTGAAGAGAAAAAGCCTACACTAAATAAATAAATTCAGGGAAAAAAGTGAAGGCCAAGGGGACTTGCCGAGCAAGAGAAAAGCAAGGTTGTCAAGAAACCTGAAGGCTCCGTAAAGTGAAGAGCTGCAATGAAAATAGGGGACTAGAGTTTAGTTTCTTTTAAAAAAAAATGGGGAATTGGGAGAGGGGAACAGTTTTCGGGAATTGGGGAAGGGGAACAGCCAAGTTGTTGTCCTTCAATCTTAGTTGTAGAGGGCGCAGCTAGCTCAGCTCCAAGTCCAGTCACCATCCGGCCGCCTGCCGGTAGCTCGCGGCTGCTCAGCTCAAGGTGCCGTGTTCAATCTTAGTTGATGGTGGGCATAGCCCACCATCCCATGCGGGAGTCGAACCAGCAACCTTGTTGTTAGGAGCACGTGCTCTCACCAGCTGAGCCATCCTGCCACCTGTTGGCAGCTCAGAAGTAGCTCAGCTCGGGTGCAGCTCACTGGCCCACGTGGGAACCAAACTGGTGACCCTGTTGCTCAGAGCTCACGCTCTTAACCAACTGAGCCAACTTGGCTGGCCCTCAGTTTGTTTCTTTTCTTATTTCTTATTTTTTTATTTGTTTTTTGGAGTTAATGAGAAAGGAGTCCCAAAATGCCCTGGAAAGTTCATCTTAGAAGCACCTGGTCCTGTTGAGATGGTATCAGATAGTCTCTTGAAGAAACAACTCCAGGCAACTTCGTGAGTTCCTGTTATTAATTATAGATATAGATATAAATAATATATCTGTATCTATTTATATATCTAGAGAGAGAAGGGAGAGAAAGAGAGAGGTTAAGAGAAACAGAAAGACAAAGACAGATTTGAGCGTGGGGAGAGAGGGAGGATGGCGGAGAATTAGGTTAGAGACCTCAATCCTCCAGTGCTCAGGGGTGTCCCTATTGGCTAAGCAGTCAGAGCTAAAATAAACCACATCCTGGATCCCAGAGAAAGACTTACATCAGTGGAATTCCAATAACACATACCATTTGATGGTATTGTGATTCTAAAGATTAAAAAAAAAACATTAATGCAGCGATTTTTCTTTCACATCTAGTGAGAGACCCTGGGGTTGCATCCACAGCTAGGCCACAATTAGACATCTGTTATTCCAAGAGAAATTTGTTGCAAAGTCCTTTGGGCAACTGATTCTTAAAGACACGGCCCAGCCAGGGTGACAAATCACCTTGTGAGGAACTGCAACTAGCTATTTTCAAAGGATGACAATGTGTGAAGTTAACTGCTTACTTAAGAACTTTCTTTTTCATCCAAAGTAAATTCAGATACAATTGAAAACCTGACCTTTTATTACTGGAGCTCTTTTGACTAAAAGTAAAATTGAATTTTAATTCTTAAATCTCCATGTTTATACAGTGCCATGAGAACATCATAGATTTTGGCTCCATGCCCCCAAGATAAATTGGCTTTGGGATTACTTGGATTAAAAACAAAGCCTTCCTTAAGAGATGTATTTAATTTTCATGATGTTTTCTTTTTTCTAAAGCTAAAGACTGGTATTTTTAAATTTCAGTTTTTCTTGATCATGAAAATGCCACCAAAATCCTGAATCGGCCAAAGAGGCATAATTCAGGTAAATTGGAAGAGTTTGTTCAAGGGAACCTTGAGAGAGAATGTATAGAAGAAAAGTGTACTTTTGAAGAAGCAAGAGAAGTTTTTGAAAACACTGAAAAAACTGTAAGTATTTCCATATAACATCCTTCAGGTGCACAGCAAAGAATAGTAAACCTAAAAAAAAAAGAAAGAAAAAAGAAACGTCTCTTTGGAATTTCAAAATATATCTCTACATGTATGCATATTATAAATGTTATAAAAGAGAAGGAATCAAATCCAAAACATTTTAAATGCCACCATTAACTTCTCCTCTTTTTCTTTATAGACTGAATTTTGGAAGCAATATTTTGGTAAGCAATTCTTTTTATTCTCTAGCTGGCATATGAAACATTCAAGAATTACGTTGCTGTGTTTTCTGTGTAAAAAGATAATATATTAAACTCTGTCAAAAGGGCTCAGGAAAAGTAAGTTCCATTCTTTTTTGAATGGTGATATACTACAGGTTTATGCCAGCATGGGAGATATCGGTTGGCAGATAAGCTTACTCGTCCCTAGGGTTTCTAAAAGTACATCGTTCCACCCCAGGAAGCCAGAAGGAAGAAACAGAGATGACTGTATCTGGGGAATGAATACGAGTTTGCAGTCCTCAGCAGAGAATCAGAGAATGCTGATTGACATAAATGTGTATTGCTTAAAAGTCCTCCTCCTTAGGATGGCCCGTAAGGCCCTCCCTTCCCGCTGCCCCTCCCATCTCATCGCTTGCTGCTCTCCACCTCACATATTGGACCCCGGGCATCATGGCCTCCCTGATGTTCTTGCACTCTCTAGGAACACTCCCACTTTAGAGTCTTTGTTCTGGCTGTTTCTTTAGTGTGGAATGTTCTGCTCGGTTTCCCTAGGCTCGCTCCCTCACCTCTTTTGGGACTTCGCCCAAAGGTCACCATCTAAATGAAGCCTACTCTGACCATCTATTAATACTTCAACCTACTCCTGCCGCCCATAACCCCTTCATTGTAGGCACTGTAACCTGCCCTATTCTTTTTCATAGCACTTTTCATCATTTGAGGTATCATATAATGTTTTTACTTATACTATTCATTTAATTTCCCACCTCACTACATGGCAAGCTTCATGTTGGCAGGTGTATTCAATTGTTTTGTTTATTGATGTATTTCTAGTATCTAAACAATATCTGGTACAGAAGCACTGAGTAAACATTTGTTGAATAAATTGACCAAAAGGAGGAAAAGTCAAAACTGTAAAGATAACTACATTTTAAAACTCATTTCAAATCCAGCAGCAGAATTTTGTGGCAGTGTAAGTTTCACAGGCAGACATATCTGGACAGCAAATTCTCTGAGTTCCATCAATTTGAGATCCAGTTCTATTTTCCAGTTTCTATTCGGGAGACACTGTTGGGCTTGCTCATACTCTCGGAACTCATAATTTCTCCACTTTTGTTTTGAAATCATGAGGGAAGAAGAGATCCACTCCATTACCTTTTCTTTGTCTGTCTTTCCTTGTTCTTGGTAATGAACTCTACTGTGCCAATTCTTTATTGACATATTCCCCGATAGTCAATCCAAACAAGTCTTTTCATTCTCTATTTCTACTACAATATATTTAAATTTTTGAATCTTGTGATTTTTTAAAAAAGATTTTATTGGGGAATTGGGGAAGGGGAACATTGTTGGAAAATTGGGGAAGGGGAACAGCCAAGTTGTTGTCCTTCAATCTTAGTTATGGAGGGTGCAGCTAGCTCAGCTCCAAGTTCAGTCACCATCCAGCCACCCGTCGGCAGCTCGTGGCTGCTCAGCTCAAGGTGCTGTGTTCAATCTTAGTTGCGGGTGGGCATAGTCCTCCATCCCATGTGCAAGTTGAACCGACAACCTTGTTGTTAGGAGCACGTACTCTCACCAGCTGAGCCATCCTGCTGCATGTCAGCAGCTCAGCTCGGGCGCAGCTCACTGGCCCATGTGGGAGTCGAACCGGTGACCCTGTTGCTCAGAAATCATGCTCTTAACCAACTAAGCCACTCAGCTAGCCCAATCTTGTGATATTTTTTTAAAAGACATCAATTTCTACCCACCCACCCCCCAAAAGAAATATTCCTGGATGTTTTTAAACTCCCATGATCCCTTCACTGTGCACCCCTGGCCTGACCTCCCACCCCCTAGCAGGGGTAGGTCAGTATCTCTTAAGCCCCATATTTGAAATTGGGCTCCTGCCTTCTTGGTCACAAGCCATGGTTACTGTATCTTAGGTAAAGATACCTGGAAAACATCAAGGGCATGATGCTGTCACTACTCCTTTGCCAAAAAAATAAAAGAGAGACAAGAACCAAAAAGAAAATAGCTCTATGCCCCTTTTTACTCGCAGCCTAGATTACTAACCACCCCAAGACAGCCTATGCTATTTTTCACTGTGTGGGTTTCCACATACAGCAGGGACACAGGCCCCTCACTCCTGCCACATCCTGTCCCATCAACACACGACATAAAGAGCCTGGGTTAAGAGCTAGCATCTGTGAAGTGCTTTACAGTTTACAGAGAGCCTGTCACATTAATTCCTCACAGCAAGCCTGTGAGCAAAGCATTATTCAACTTCATCTCACAGAGGAGAAAACTGAGGCTTAGGAAGGTAAAAAGACGCCAAAGTCACCCAGCTGGGGGGTCATGGAGCCCAGAAGAGAATCCGCCTTCTCGAATGCCCGACCCTTTGCTTTCACTATTACCCCTCCAGACCTTCAAATCTAAATGCAGTTATTCATTAAACACCAACCTAGTAGCCTGAAAGAGGAATCTTTCACTTGACAAGGTCTGGCCCCTTGCTGTCTTTGACCCCTACTATCTGTGGCTTTGCCTCAGCCCAAAGTACACACAGACAAGCACCCAAAGGCGGACTAAAATGACACTCATTTTAAAGGTATGTCTCAGCAAATGAGTTGCTATGTAGCTGGCTGCGAGCCCAGACCCTTTCAGTGAAACATCCTAAATAATTCAGATCCGTTGGTCTATAATATAAAGTGCAAATGTAGCTTGTTTTTTAGACTAGTTCTGAACATCAATAATAATAAAGCAGAGATAACGTAGTTTGTTTTCATAGAATTGGAACAAATTGAAGTATCTGTGCAAAAGCACAGTGGCTAGAGGGGCAGAGGGGACAAGGTCTAATTTTTATGGCAAGCAGATTTTTCAGAGAGGGACTATTTCTGAGAAAGGGATATTAGTCCTTAGTCAGTGTGACCCGGATACATGCTACTGTCAGAGAACATGGCAGACATGTGCCTGCTCTCCTTGGAGCAAGCAGGAATCTACACACTAGATGTCAGAGAGTTTCGCTCCAAAGTATGACTGATAATTCGAAATTATTTGCCCTCTTTCGCTCATTCTTTTATTCTTATGTCATCTTCATCTCTCATTCTTTTGTTTCTCATATATTGTCTTGCTGATCGAGTTCCCATTTTTTCTGCAGGGCTATTTCTCTTAGCTCAAAGTGCATGTCAGTCTCCCTTCTGGTTCTATTTATCCCTTTTTCCTGAAGCTTCCTTAGAAGTATGCATGGAGGCAGAGCTGTAACAAACCAGACTTAAAGGTTCCCTTTTCATCCTGACCCTTCCACTCTCGCTTATTTCTTCCTCCTGTTTTCCTACCACCGGTAGCTTCAAAGGCCCTCAAGAGCTCTATAAAAGTAGAAACTTCAGGAAAGACAGAAAGGAAACACAGCCAATCTATACATATATACAGAATAATTTCTTTTCATTCTTTATATTGAAAGTTGTTTCTTGCTTTACCTAGACCATTTGGGACCTAACTCATAGACAAAATATCTTTAAGCAGTAACAGATGCTGCTGGCATCTTTTATATTGTTTTGAACCATCGGTACATATTATACTTAAAAGTTAAGTGATAATACAAGAAAGTAGATGCATTTGCTCCATGCCTAAACCACCAGTACCTTGGGTGGAAGTACCATATGTTATCTGGTTCAGCCTGCATTGCAAGACCTGAGATAGAACAGGCATTGGATGACACACAGATAATAATTGTCGAAGTGACCTGATTTGATTTGGAAGTAACTCCGCCACCATTCTATAAGGAAGGATTGAAAATTCTTCTCACCCCATGCTGATATGATACATTTCTACTCAAACATTTTTCTCCCTCTTCTTTTTCCCTTGGTTGCATGAACTATGTACACACCTTCTTCAAGGCAATTTCCTAGGAAATTAGGGTATTAGCCTACGAACCTTTGTTTGGGTTGCTTCTATTTTATTTTACTTATTATTATTTTTTCTTTAAATTTTATTGGGGAACAGGCATGGTCATCGGTTGCGCATTGCCTCCATGCTACAATGGCATAATTGACTCTTCTAAGGAGGGCGCAGTTCACGGTGGCCCGTGCGGGGATCGAACCAGCAAACTTGGTGATATCATCACCATGCTCCAACCAACTGAGCTAACCAGTTACTCCTGGGTTGCTTTTAGAAACGCAGGAAGACAGGGGCATAGCTGGCTTCCAGGTCAGCAGTTCTGCACTGACCCTAAAACCAGGGTCCCGTCCCCATGAGTCTGTGCAGGGAGGACTGGGCATTCTAAGCAGTTTATTTGCTAATTCAACATCTTAACCTATCTCAAAGATGGAGATCAGTGTGAGTCCAATCCATGTTTAAATGGCGGCAAGTGCCAGGATGAGATTAATTCCTACGAATGTTGGTGTCCAGTTGGATTTGAAGGAAAGAACTGTGAATTAGGTAAGTAACTATTTTTGTATTACTCATGGCTCATCATTTCCCTTTGAAACCAGATGAACCTGGAAAATGCAATATTTATGTATCATGAGTTTCTCCTGAAAACATACACGTTTTTGTTGTGGTAAAGAACACCTAACATGAGAGCTACACTTAACAAATTTTGAAGTAGACAATACAGTACTGTTAACTGTAGGCACTGTGCTGTACAGCAGATCTCTAGAACTTATTCTTCTCACATAACCGCAACTGTAGCTGTTGACCAGCAACTCTCCATTTTCCCTTCCCCCTAGACAATTACATTCTCTGTTTCTATGTGTTTGACATTTTTGGCCCCCTCACATAAGTGGAATCATGCAGTATTTGTCCTTCTGTGACTGGCTTATTTCATTTAGCATAATGTCCTCCAGGTTCATTCATGTTGTCACATATGACAGGATTTCCCTCTTTTTAAAGGCTGAATAAGATTGCATTGTATAAAACATACTTCCAAAGTTTATAAACATTCATTTTATCTGTAGTCATTGTTTCCAGGATGAGTTCAAGACACTCTATTAAGAGCAATAATAATATTTGGTAGATAATCGGTAGTGATGGTCCACTCACTTATTAATCCTCAATACACCCCTATGTGGTCAGTACCATTATTATTATTCCCATTCTATGTAGACGTGGAAACTACAGCTCACACAGCTCAAAATCACAGAGGTGAGTAAATGGTCGAGCCAGGACTTCAACTTCAGTTTGACCAAAATCCGTGCTTCTAACTACTATCCACAAAACGAAAAGTAAACTGAACGCATAAAACTGAACTCATGACTAAACTGCTATCAACACCGGCATCAGAAGTCAAGTAACTATAGAATTGGGGTATGGCAAAGTCAGTTCTCTCATATAATAGGCACTTCACACATATGAACCACTTTCACATGTTAAATTTGTTGACAAAAATCTGAGCTCATTTCTGAATTTGACTACACCGATTACACTGAAAGAGTTACATAGCAAATTTAGGTTTAGTGGGCATTTTTTCCTCTCATAGCCTAGAATATTTTTTTCTGAGGTTTTGGCAATCAGAGCTATAAACCCCAAAGTCCTTTACGTACTTGTTTACCTCTGGATGCAAGGTTACGGGTATTGTGATTGTGAAAAACACAAAGTGCTGGCGACAGATTCTCCTTCTACTCTGAAACTAACAGAATAGAGATACAATTTTAGGGAGAGAATTTAACACCACAGGCTATATGACGAAGGGGAAGGCGTGGGACATTAGCAGGACTCCATTAAGGCATTATATCAATCCACCTGACACATAGCTGAAAAAGGCATAAAACAAAATGAAACACAGCTGCTATACTTGGCCCACTGAAAAAGGCATAAAAGTCACCTGTAATGTTATTTAGAAATCCTTTCACTATTAAAGAGAAATCCATTGATCATCTTCCTTTGAGATCTAAAAGATGAAAAAGAAGAGACGATAAGAAAAGGAAAAGGTGGCAGGGGCAAACCATTTTAAAAGAAAGAAAAGAGTGAATGCGGTGGATGAACTGGTGCACCTGGCCTGGATTTCCATTCTGTGAGATTTCCCAGTGTGGGGACAAGCCAGTGTCTGGGTTACCTTTCCTGTGGGTGTGTTAATTGGTCCAACATCTTGAAAGTGCCACTTACATCTGAAAGGTTATAACTTCAAATTCAGATGTACCTAGATAGGCTTGATCCTGCTATTATGGAAACCTACAGAAATCTTTTCAGTAGTTCCTCATTTGCAGCTTAAATAATATAACTATGGGAGCTGACAGAATGAATAACTCAATTAGTCTCCGTTCAGAATGAAGGGCACGTTGTCATAAAGTATAATTGAAAATAGTGTTTAACGTTAAATATTCCTAAGTGTCTTTAGTTTAAAAATAAAGACACTTTAAATGAGGAGAATAGCCCTGAGGAATGTAAATAGATGCACAAAAATTCCCTACCAGGCTTTGCTACATGGTGAGGCTGCACTCTCCATGGCAAAAGTGCTAGGTCTCCAGCTGGCCCCATCTCAGTCTTCTTGGGTTCCCCGCCATTTTGATTTGGTCAAGGCTTGGCAGTTGCACTGCAACTGCCCCAGCCCATCGGATCAAGGTTTAGAAAAATCCTTTCAGCTCAGTTAGTCAGAAACAAAGTGAGGATTCTCTCAAAGAGCTCTTTATGTCAGACACTAGAGGAAAGCAGCAGCCAAAACACACAAACTCTCATTTAAACTGAACTAAAGCCCCATCTCAATAGCTGCTAGATAACGGGGTTTATGGAGTACCTGGGAAGGGAGATTTCCATTGTTAAGACCTCCTTGTTTTCCTTCTCCCTTGTCCATGAGGCTCCTTTCCAGGGGAGAGAGGTACAAATATTCAGGGCACGCCTTCTAGTTAGAAGAATAACAATTAATTGGCTATTGTGTCCCTCTGTCTAGAACAGCGGTTCTCAACCTGTGGGTCGTGACCCCTTTGGGGGTCGAACGACCCTTTCCCAGGGGCCGCCGGGTACTCGTATGTGGGCGTATCTGCATGTGGGCCTGGAGACGGATAGAGGAGCGGTGTCTCGGTTCCTAAGACCATCGAAAATATGTGTTTTCCCATGGTCTTAGGCGACCCCCACCGTGTGAAAGGTTGAGAACTGCTGGTCTAGCATAAAGACCACTGCATGTCCTTAGCTACACATCACCTCTGAGTCCTTTACAGGTAGATCAAGCGCTGTAAGAACTTGGTCATTCCTGAACCTTCTAAAGAATGCAAGAAGTCTTTCCCCACAGTGAGATAGGATGGAAAGAAAAAAATCACAAGCACATAAACTTTTTTTTTTCCCTTTCATTTTGTGAACACGTCACAGACACTACTGTCTTATTTGCGATGTATTTCTGGGGAGTAGAGAAAAGAAAATACCTTGAGTTTAGCTGAACAATAGCATATTCTGTGGTAAATTTGTTAAACAGAACTTCTTTTGTTCAAGCGTTGGTTTTCACATCAGTGAATACATCAGGGTAGAAAAAGGCAAAGTAAAATAAAGCAGAACAGGCTAACTTTTGCGGAGGGCATCAGGGAAATGAGAAAGAGGCGTTTGTGCCAACATGGAGAGAGAAGAACAGCTGCTTTGAGACGTTCTTCAAGAGAGGTTTTAGGCACTGAGACCAACCTCGGGACCAGGGAAAGCCCATACCCAACACAGTGCCTCACATCTAAGTGCTCAAAAAAACGATTGATAAATGAATCCTATACTGACTGCTCCTTAGATCTTCGACTATGGATCTCTCCAATCAAATTCCTTGTGCCATTATCCTAGTTCCAGAATCTTGAGTCCTTTATCTGAGGGCAAAAGGCCGCTGATTGGACAGCGACTATTGCCCACTGCATGCACAGACCACGCCAGAGAGCGACAGCAACATACTGAGTCACAAAGAGCGGGGACAAATGAGGAAAATCATGGTGCGGTTCAGTTACATAGCCAAGGGCACAGAATCAGAACTGGGAAAGCCACAGAGTTGACTCATTCCCGTTGTGCGTGCACCAAACCAGGCTGCACCTACCACCTACCTCTGTTAACTTACCGCAACCTCGTGTTGACTGAACACTTTCTACAGGAGGTATTTGGTTTGGCTGAACATCTCAGCACTGCTCTGTAGCAACACAATGATAGCCAGTCCCATGAAAAAGCCAAGAATGTAGTCATGATGAGTGAGGAGAAAGGTCTTTAAAAAATAAATAAAAGGACCAAGTGACATCTTTTTGGATGGTGCACTTAATGGATTATTGGTAGCACAGGTTAAAGCTCAGGCTTGTTTCTCTGTCCACCCGGCAATAGTTGATTGGCCTCCCCTTATTTTCTGAAGTGTCAGTAAGGAACACGAGCTAATTATTACCTTAGACTACGCTAGCCTATGTAAAATATAACTTACCAAAATTTTAGATCTGTCACTCAAAAATCCATAATACACTCTGAAACCATATAGTCGCTCTGTTAGCCTGCAGTCCCCCAGAAAAAAAGAATCTGTGACAAAAGCTTATCTAGTAGGGAGTGCAATCCTAGGGAGAAAAAAATAGAACAGAGAGTGAGGCAATGAGGAAAGGAGAAGCAATAATAGGATGAGCCATCTCTTCATCTGCAACTGACTGCTTAATCTCCTGGAACTGTTTTCCAAGAAACCACATGACCTGGCCTCAGGGTAGTCCATCCGGGAGGAGCAAAGAGGTAAAAATATTTGTCTATCGGCATCTGTCTGCCAATGTTAAAAGTTCAGCCTACAAGGGGCCGGCTGAGTGGCTCAGTTGGTTAAGAGCTCGCTCAAGAGTTTGAGCTCTGAGCAACAGCGGTTCGAGTCAGCCCGAGCTGAGCAGCCGTGAGCTGCCAACAGGTGGCGGGATGGCTCAGCTAAAAAAAAAACAAAAAAAAAAAGTTCAGCCTACAGGTTGAACTCATCTCCAGGTTGTATGTGCTGGTACACCCGGAGAGGTTGTGGGGCATCCCGTGGCTCAGCATCAAAAGGGAAGTGTCAAGGTAGGAGGTGAGAGACACATACTGCAGATATGAGCCAAAGCCATTCAAGGTCACATTCACATGGGATCAGTGGAAGCCCATGCAGACGTGATCACCACCGTGCTGGGGAAACACAGCTGAGAGGAACTGAGGTGGTACCCAAGAGGTGTCTAATACAGCCACTTGTTCTCAGACTTTCCATGTTCTAACTGCACTGAGAAGTGAGCATTTCCATTGAAAGTTGTACTGCTTGTGAGCATGTACGTAAGGGGGAAGGTGTCTTCTATCCACTGTGTTCCTGCGCTACTCAAGAGGCAGAAATAGGCCCAAGGGCAGAGCCTGTTTCTCTTAAGTCAGCGTATCTCAGCTAGCAAGCCCTGCACCATACTACTTCCTGTTACTGACATGGCATAGGATAAACAAAGGGAAAGCATGGTAATTAGAAAATACAAAATAAGGTGGCAGGAATAAGTCAAATATATCAGGAATCACAAGTAATGTGAATTGGTATTAATGACAACTTTCAGTCTGGAGTTCAAAATCAAATTGCATGTTGTTGAAAAAAAGGGATACCTAAAATAAAATTAAACCAGGAAGCTAAAATAAGGAGATGTAAGGAGATTTTTCTAACAAAAAGAAACAGGCAAAGCAGTCTTAATATCAGACAAACCAGAATCAAGACAAAAAGCATTACAAGAGACAAAGAAAGATATTTTATATTAATAAGGGAGGTTGTATAGGAGAGTAAAGAAAATATGGGCCACCAGAACGCTTATCATTGTCAACACATGTCTTTGGCAGTTAGCTACCTTAAAGGACCCTATTTTATTCTCTTGTGTTGACACATACCCACCTCAGCCAACTTCAAGTTTTCTTTGATAAACTGGGTTATATTAAAGCTGTGAACTTCTATTCAGCAAAATACACTATGTAGGGTGAAAAGGCAAGTCACAGAGTGGGAGGAGAAATCCACATCATATCTCCAATAACTGGAACTCATACACTGATGGGGGAATTTAAACTTGTGCAATTATTTTAGAAAAGTACTTGGCAGTATCTACTCAACCTCAACATATGATCCAATCATTGTACTCATAAGTATACATCCAAGAAATATGCACGCGTAGGTGACTGAAAGATATCTACAAGAATGTTCCGAACAGTGTGATACAAAAGAGCCCCAAACTGGAAACATGGCTCAAACATTCATCAACAGAAAAATGGACGAGTAAAGGTAGTAACATTTACGCAATGGAAAACTACACAGCATGTAAATGAGCTACTGCCCTACAAAACAACATGGATGGAATGTTAAATGAAAGATACAGAAGAGTGCCTATTGTCAGCTTCTATTCATACATATCAAGTTCATGAACAGGCAAGACTCATCCATTTTTAGAAGTTGGTGTGATGGTAACTTTGGGAAGGAGGAAGAGTACAATGATTGAAAGGAGGCATCAGGAGAGTTTTTGGGGTGTTGATAATGTCCTATGTATTGATTTGTTTAGTGTTGAAACCACTGGGTCCATTTTGTGAAAATTATTACTCAAGTTCTGGGTCCTTTTCTGAATAGATGTTATATTTAGTAAACATTTTACTTTTTAAAGATTTTATTGGGGAATTGGGGGAAGGGGACAGTGTTGGGGAATCGGGGAAGGAGAACAGACAAGTTGCTGTCCTTTTGTTCTTCAGTCTAGTTGTGGAGCATGTCGCTTCACTGGTCCATGTTGGTATTATCATTGTGTTCTTCTCGGGTGAAGCAGATCACTCTCCGGCCATTGGACAGCCGCTCACAGCGGCTCACGGCAGCCCAGCTCCAGGTCGAGCAGTTGTTCACCATCTTAGCTGTAGAGGGCACAGAGTCACTGGCCCTCATGTGGGCTCTGAACCAGGGCCCTGCTGCTCAGAGCTGGCATCCCAAGCCAGGTCTTAACCAATGTGCCACTAGGCCGGCCCAGTAAACATTTTTTTTAAGTTTTTTATTGGGCAACACTGTTTTTCCAGGACCCATCAGCTCCAAGTCAAGTAGTTATTTCAATCTAGCTGTGGAGGGCACATCTCAGTGGCCCATGTGGGGACTGAACTGGCAACCCTGGTGTTATGAGCACTGTGCTCTAACCAACTGAGCTAACCGACTGCCCCTTAACAAATATTTTTAATTGTAGTCCATGATTTAATGAAAGTGGAATATCTAAACTTCAGCTCTATGCCAAATCAAATACATTGCTGCCACCATTGTATGCCTTATTAGAAATTTTATCTTTCTACTTTTAGCTCAAGGCTTCCAAGCTTCTCTCCATGAACGCCCCCAGTTCATGTTTAACCTACAATGCATGTTTAGTGATGCTATCACTGTTGGTTTTCCTTTCTTTCAGATGCAACATGCAACATGAAGAATGGCAAGTGCAAGCAGTTTTGTAAAATGGGTGCTGACAACAAGGTGCTTTGCTCCTGTACTGCTGGATACCGCCTCGCAGAAGACCAGAAGTCCTGTGAACCGGCAGGTCAAAATCTAAATAAATTTTTTTTTAAGCTTGGCAGACAGATGTTCCAAATCCGTATTTAAACCGTTAGCATTTTAACTAGCCTACATAATTATAATCCTTACTTGTTTCTACTTCCTTTGAAATCATAGGAAAGAGCAGTTGCTAGAATTGGAAAAATTAATGTTCTAAATTGCATCATCATTTTATTTATTTATTTATTTATTTTTAATTGGGGAACAGTGTGTTTTTCCAGGACCCATCAGCTTCATGTCAAGTAGTTGTTTCAATCTAGTTGTGGAGGGCGCAGCTCGGTGGCCCATGCAGGCTTGGAACCGGCAACCTTGGTGTTGTGAGCACTTTGCTCTCACCAACTGAGCTAAACGGTAGCCCCATATCATTGTTTTAAATAGAAATTTCTGTAAATGTCTTCAGTCTGAATTCTTTTCCATATGTCCAAGTTTTTTCTGACTTTTATGTCATGAAGCAATTGTGTAATTTCTGTATACATATTTCTAATTTGTCCAGTCAAATTAATGTAGTAATTCTATACCATAAAAGATATATAAGTGATTGACTGATGGTCTTCTACTACAAGAATGGTGAATTTTAAATATGGTTCTCCCAGGGTGTGGCTGGTTTACTCTGAGAATGTTATTTCCTGTCCTTGGATCTCAGGCTGAATTTACACGTTGGCATCAGAATAGTTCCGATGACCATCTGTTTAAGTCGTGCCAGGCTGATCAGTACCGCCAGTCTATCCAGCAATGGACAAAGCAGTCTTTCCCAGTCATGTCAACCATGCTGCCATGAAATAGGCTCTGCGGGATCAATTTTAGTTGATAAATGGGGGGCCTTTTTAAAGCAATATATAACTTCTTTTGCATTTCCAAAGCCTGATATTTTATTAAAGCGGTACATTAAATCATGCACCATTCCTCTGTAACTGGGTTCAACACCTAGCTCAGCAACGCATCCAGCAGATGAAATTAAAGAAAGGACCAGAAGCCAACAGTATTCATGCTGCAATTAAAATGAAGAGTCTCTGATGCTTCAAGGGCCTGCCTGCCTGTCCTCCTACCTGGTTTCTCACAAACACTGCTTCAAACCCAGTCTACCCTGGGAGGAGAATATACAGTAACACCTTGGTTTGCTAGCATAATTCGTTCCAGAAACAAACTACTCATATTGCAAGACATCGCTCATTTACCACGTTAAAATGTATTAGAGGGACCGGCCAAGTGGCGCGTTGGTTAAGAGCTGGCTTGGGATGCCAGCTCTGAGCAGCAGGGCCCCAGTTCGGATCCCACATGAGGGCCAGTGACACCGCCCTCTACAGCTAAGATGGTGAACAACAGCTCGACCTGGAGCTGGGACGCCGTGAGCAGTCATCCAATGGCCTGCGACTGCCTCACCCAGGAAGAGTGCAATGATAACACTAACATGGGCCAGTGAAGCTATGTCCTCCACAACTAGACTGAAGAACAAAAGGACAGCAACTTCTGTTCCCCAGCACTGTTCCCCTCCTGCAATTCCCCAATAAAATCTTTAAAAAAAAAGTATTAGAAATGTTTCCTCATCTTGCGGAACACTTGCAAACCACGTTACTTGTAATCCAAGCTTTTACTGTATATGTGTTTTAACCTTAAAAATTTAACTCCAGTATAGACTGGTGGCACAGTCGCTAAGCCCTTATAAACCTTTCTATGTTAGAAGAGAGAAAAAAAAAGAATTGAGAAGCACTTCCAACTATTAAGTGTTATATTTGAATATTGGCTTAGCTTTAGCAGAGTAAGTAGGCCAAACCTAAAATAAGCTTTTCTGCCTTTCAATAGTAATGATCCCTTTCCTCTCGCCATTGTTGATGATTTATATTTACATATATATATGTATTTTGAACTAATTTCCTGTTTTCCCAACCACATGCTGTCTTCATGATACTTTGCCACAGCTGGTTGCTATAGAAATGTCTGTTATAAGGAATGGAGCTGGGGGCCGGCCAAGTGGCTCAGTTGGTTAAGAGCTCACTCAAGAGTTTGAGCTCTGAGCAACAGCGGTTCGATGCCCCGCCCGAGCTGATCTGCCGCTGAGCTGCCAACAGGTGGCAGGATGGCTCAGCTTAAAAAAAAAAAAAGGAATGGGCCTGGAAGGATAGTGAGAAATGAAAATGAAATGTGAGGTGACTGGCTTTGCTGGACTACAAATTTCCATTCTGGTTGTCCTCAATGTTTCAGTGAACAATTTCTCTTCTGTAGGGAGTAAACCAAATCAAGGTAAAAAGGTGGCCAGTTTCCAGGTAGATATGGCTGTGATAATCATATTAGTAATATATTTACTTAATACTTGACAGTCAGGTAATTAAATTACAATGATCTCCCCGTCCCCCAAACAGATACCTAAAATCCACCTTGGAATCTAGAAGGTATTGTAGTCTACAAAAGAAATCTTATTAACAAAAGCAGTAGGAGTCTCATTTACCTAATTCTAAAGTTAAAGTTACATGTCACCAATCATGAGACTTCCATTCAGGGACAGTACTTGGGAATAAGACTTTTTGGTAAAAAAATAACACAAAAAAAAAACTTAACAGAAAGTCATTAGACTTTATAAAAGTCTTACAAAATTTGATTCTGGAACACTTATCCTATTTCTGTAAAGATGATGGATTCCTGAGCCAAATGTTCTTTTCATGAAGGGTTTGAAAACTTTCCATGAAAATAATGCAATTAACCTTTTAGTTTGAAACTATACTCATTGATTAGATTTTTTTAAATATGGATGGGCCTGCTTTTCAGAAGTGACAAGAATGGGCCTCATTTTCGATTTTATAATACATGTTCTGCTTGCCAATGAGAAATATCCAAATACTAATGTTTTTTCCCCATTTTTCTAGTGCCATTTCCATGTGGGAGAGTTTCTATCCCTCACACTTCTACGAAGCACACCCGCGCTGAGGCTGTTTTTTCCAATATGGACTATGAAAATTCTACTATAGATGAAATAATTTGGGATAACATCACTCGAAGCACCGAACCATATAACAACCTCACTCGAATTGTTGGCGGAGAAAATGCCAAACCAGGTCAATTCCCATGGCAGGTACTCTATACTGATGCTGTGTCAAAGCTGGAGCTCAGTGGGCAAGGGGCAGGGCAGGTGTGATGCTGAGGCTAGGACATTAGACACACCTATCAGGGTGAGGGAAGTTTTAGCACTAAGCAATTATGAGGATGGCCCCATAGGAAAGAGAAGTCCAGGGACCGCTACCATACACGGCCAAGGAGAGTTTGGCATCAAGGAATCAGCATAGCAGGATTCCAAACAAGCAACAAGGAGGGCTGGCAGTGAGGTCACAGTTACTGGGGCTTAGGGTTATTACTTCAGCTTCAGCCCCTGGGAGAACTGGTGAGAGTCAGAAAGTCTCTAGGTCCAGAAAAACTGGATTATTTTGAAGGGATTTAAAAAAGGACTGAAGTAGGAAGGATTAAGGGAAATACTGGGCTACTGGAACCAGGGTACGTGATAGGGGCTTGGTCCATGTGGTTCTCAAAGTGTGCTAACATCAGAATCACCTGGGGACTTGTTAAGAAGGCTACACCCCAGGTGTACTGAATCTGAGTCTCTGGAGGTGAGGCCTAGCAATCTGTGTGCTAGAAGCCCTTCAGGTAATTCTCAGGCACACTATAATCTGTTTTTTGTTTTGTTTTGTTTTGTTTTAATTTAGGATTTTAAAAAAAACTTTATTGGGGAACAGCCATGGTCATTGGTTATACATCGCTTTCATGCTACAATGGCATAGTTGACTCTTAAGGAGGGCGCAGCTCACAGTGGCCCATGTGGAGATAAAACCAGCAACCTTGGTGTTATCAGCACTACGCTCTAACCAACTGAGCTACTACACCCCAGCACACTACAATTTGAAACCCACTAGTCCAAAGGAAATGATCTTGGTACAGAAACTAAGGTCCAAAACACCAAATAGTGGACTCATGGTACCCAGTCCCACATTCTTCCAGGTGTGATCTGCAAACAACCTACATGACAATCACCTGTGCACATTTTTTAGGCCGACGACCAAGAGCTAAATTTGTGGCAAAACCTGGGCTGTAACTGGCTACAGCTAAAACCGAAGTGATTCCATCGGAGAGAAGGAGTAGGCAAGGAGCCAGGTGGTCCTTATATGAAGTCTGGCTGTCCAATAACGTAACTACTAGCCACATGTGGCTATTTAAATTTAAATGAACTACCAATAAATCTAATTTAAAATTCATGTCCTTGGTCACACCTGTCACATTTCAAGGACACAATAACCACATGTGTCTACCAGCTACCATATTGAAGAGCGCAGATACAAAACATTTCCATGATCACAGAAAGTTCTATTGGACAGCACTTACAATACTTGAGTCTCACACAAAACTCCCTAGTGACCATAGTCATATGTGATTTAGTCATCTCAAGGATGCTTCATTCTAAATATTTTCTCTGCTGAGGTTGGAACTTTTGCCATTAGAGACCAATAGCTTCAAAGACTTTTCAATCATCAAACAGTGAACAGTTCAAGCCAGGGATCAGGTAAATGTCCCCAGGTTTCACTACTGGAATTTCCTGAGACTAGCTATGCATCTATCTAGGACTCTTCAGAATGCCCGCCATTTTCCCAATACAATGGGTATAAGATGAACCTATTCCTGGAAGGTAGGGATTTGGCCCAGACATTGAGAATAGTACTGAAGGGTTGCAGACCATCACAACTAAAACTTTATATTTTCCTTTTTTCTCACCTTGTCCGTAATAATATTTGTTGGAATTGACCTTATAGCCAGTAAAATGCACTATATATTCCTTTACACCCACGCGTCCCCTACTTAAGTATCCTACCAGGGCTGCTTCCCTCAACCACCACCGCCCCTTCCTTCACCCACCCTTCATGACTCTTCGTAAGATTGACTTTTCACCTTCTCCATCGACCTGTCCTCGAACAATCCCTGTTGGGTCCAGCCACTCTAAGTATGCTTTATTCTATTTAACATCCATGTACCTGATTCTTTCTAATTTTACTATTTGTGTTCTTGTGCATTTTCAGTCATTCTGTATCCAACTTCCATGGATAAGGTGGTTAGAACAAATGATTCTGCTTTATAAGTATTATCTTCCTTGGACTTGCGGGACATAAAACAGTGCCTAGAGTGGATGATCCTGTCACCCAGGGGTGTTTTATTAGCTAAGAAGATGACTTCCCATTAAAAAAAAGGCCAGGATAAAAAATACCAAAAACCCAAAACTCCCAGGATGCATGCATTATGGACTTAGCATTGTCCCCTTGTCATCCCAGAAATGAAATGGCAAATACACTTAAATGAGAACTAAAACAAAAAGAATGGAGTTTTATAAAGTCTCAATTGAGTCACATAATCTCTGTCCCTCACCCACTCCCTTTAAACCAGATGTTTCCTAACGTTTTAGCAATGCAAGTGTTTCCTAATAGAAAATTTAGTTACCCTCTCAAGTTATTTTTTTTTCTTTTAAGCAGAAAAAATTATTAGATGATGGTTGCAGTTGTACTGTGAGGAAGAACGTATAATTGATGCACATCATTTCAAATCTGTCACATCCTCCTCACTGCACACTTGTAGTGAGTGTACCTGCTGTCTCTTTCCTAATCAAGCCGAGCTAAGATCATTTGGAATGTTCAAGATCCCTCATGCATATGTGTTCATGCACGTTCACTCCCTATTTCCCCCATATGAAGTAAGGTTACTGACTGGAAAGTTACAAAGGACTAGATTTTAGGGTTTTTTCCAAAGGTGAAGAGCTGAGCAACTTTCTAGGACACCTGAGAAAGACCCAGTCATACATCTGCATTGTTTCCGTCCTCACCAGAGAACTCTCTCTCCCCACCCACCTCCACCCAGCTTCTCACGAAAGGTTAATGTTTTCAAAACTATGAAATAAACTGAGTGTACAAAAATCACTCTTAGACAAAGACAACACAGAAATGAAACAAGCCAGAGAGTCTCTCACCTTTAATCCATCACCCTTAATCTGCAGGGAGGAAATACTTGATTTGATTGCAGACAAGACTGCAAGGCACTGGCAGCACAGGCATCAAGGCAAAACACGCCACAGCTGGCCAAAATATTCTATCTGTGGCTCTAAAATAGGAACGACTGTTTAGCAATGTCACTTAGAAAAGGGTCATTCAAACTGCTAATGCTTCATAAATGGGTAATAGAGGGAAAAGCGGCCACTTGGGTGAAAAAAATCCCACAAAGAACCTAGGGAGTTCACTTTCATCTGGAGTCATGAACAGTTTGAACGAACTGGAAAGGTTTAGTCTGGTACAGAAAAGGTTTAAGTGAGCTGTTTGCAAGAGCTAAAGGGCCACAGGAGTAAGGGAAAGACAACTTTTTCTTTGTGGATTTATGGGTACAAGTTGCAGGCAGGCAGGCAGGCAGGCAGGCAGGCAGGTTCTGGCCCCAGTTACAAAAGCCCTTTCCAACTACAGTGTGAGTTACATGGGCTGGGCAGCTTTGGGAAGAAACGTTTGTTCAACAAATGTTTGTCTCATTGTTGACTTGAAGAGCTGTTCTGTCACTGGGGGCAGCAGCGGCCTGATATCCCCATCCAGGAGAGTATGGAGGGCATTGATTCACCCGAGGGGAGGTTAGAGTAGGCTAGGGGACAGCTTTGAGACCCTAAGGCACGATGTGCACTTTCTATGTGGCCTGTCTGTGGTCGCGTTCATTTCTTACCTTATTGTAGGGCTTTCACCTCAGCTACTCGGTTTGGAGGCTAAGCTGCAGAAGCTGCACTGCGCGGCAATGGAGACCCGAGTTTCCGAGCGCTCCATAGGGTTCCGGCCTGCGAGCCCCGCCCCACCCCGCAAGGTCAAAGGTGCAGGCGGAATTGTCTGATCTTGAACCCCGCCTCACAGTGACAGAAGGTCTGAGAGAGGAGCATAGGGAGGGGAGATGCCAATTTCCTTCATTTTACCTCCAGGTGCCCAGCCATGGTAGGCTCAGAGCCCCTAAAGAACTTGGGGAAAGGAAGCAGGGACTCTTCAGGGACCCCTCAGGAGTGAAGAGAGGAAGCTAAATGGTTAAATGCACTATATAGGAACAGAAAGGACATTTCATGGATTCACTATATCTTTAGCACAGTGGGAAACTCAAACAAGACTTGAATTTCATACAGCTACATAGGAAAGCAATGAAAACTTTTAAACATTAGAGAAAAACAGGGAAATCCCAACACCTATACTATGAGACCACTTTTATCAACAGCTTAAAAGTGAGAGATCTTAGGGGTGGCTGGTTAGCTCAGGTGGTTAGAGTGCAGTGTTCATAACACTAAGGTTGCCAGTTCAATCCCCGCATGGGCCACGGAGCAGCGCCCTCCACAACTAGATTGAAACAACTACTTGACTTGGAGCTGATGGGTCCTGGAAAAACACACTTTTCCCCGATTAAAAAAAAAAGAATCTTAATATCTTATTAAAAAAAAAAAGAAGTGAGAGATCTTAGGAAGCCACAAGGTGTTTCGGCTTCTTAAAGCTTTAATTTGGTTTTGGTCCCTTGATCCTGTCAGCGGACAATTCTGAGCATACACAAACTTCCCCAAAAGCTTCTCCCACTTCTTCGGCTTCGGGTTAGTATCTGTCCAGCCCTGTATGCACAGGACCTGGTCTTCTATTTTCTGTTTTATCATGGGCAGAATACAAAGGAAGCCAGGTCCTTAAGCTTTCCTTATCCTTTATATTAGGTTGTATCATATGCAATTGCCAGTACTTAACCATTTGAACCAACAAAATGTCTTGAGAAGCAGTCCGTCTATTCGTTATTCTATTCTTGGCCTAAATAATCTTTGAAACGTCTTAGCGTTTTCCCCAGTCTTGGCTTTCCTCAGCTTTGGTCTGCAGCTATCCTAAAAAGTTCCTGAGCTCTTCACCTGTACAGCTTACCCACACAGACCCAAGCCCCGTGGCAGACAGCATGCAAAGTTACCATATGTATGAACCAAACTTTTTCTCTTTTGGAAGGCTGGAGTGTTTGAGAGGAAGATGTTAATGAAGATCCTAATACTATAGAAATATCTTCCTTCTGGACAAAGTAAGCCTCTATTTTTTTCTAGCTCAGGAAATAAAGTTCCAATTAGGAGACATGAAAAGATGACATATGTCATCTCACCTGGTCCCACAAAACTATTGTCGACAGAATATTTAGACTGTTATTCTCTAAGATGGTTTGATAAAAATCTATTTCAATGACTAGTCTAGTTAACTAGTCATTAAAAACCAAAAGTGAGCATCGCCTCTGTGCCCAGAAAAATGAAGTCGGGCCAAGGGCTAGGCAAATCACACCTGTGGGCATAAAAAGCTGTACATCATGCAGAAATGGTTTTGCTTTTATATGAGAGAGAATGAGTATGAAAATGTAGAAAAAAAATAGTATTGTAGGGCCGGCCGAGTGGCTCAGTTGGTTAAGAGCTCGCTCAAGAGTTTGAGCTCTGAGCAACAGCGGTTCGAGTCCAGCCCGAGCTGAGCAGCCGCTGAGCTGCCAACAGGTAGCAGGATGGCTCAGCTAAAAAAAAATAGTATTGTAGAGCTGGTGGTAGTTAAATAGGGAAAATAAGGATTTACTGAAATCCCAGGGAAAGGCCAGGTTCAAGTTCAAAGGTTAGGAAGAGAACAACAGGGCAACAGCTATTACTCTGGGTTGGCATTGTCAGTGAAGAGCATCAAAACAGATATGTGAATGTGTATTTTGTAGATGCATGTAGGTGTGTTTGGAGTGTATCCGTGTGTGTCTGAAAGAGAGAAAACAAGCACCTGTTAAGACATGACAAACATGAAAATGTTTGACAGGTCGACTCGGAGGCCTTGCTCAGAACATATGCTTTCCCATTTTCCCCATCATTCTCTGAAATGACGTCTTGCAAGAACTTGTCCTTGGCCAAGCAGACAGCTCATCCCCAAATAGCTAATATTTAGAGAGCTGTGACCCTGAGGCAGCCAAGCAAACATTCCAAAATCATCGTTTGTAATATCTGTAAATGCAAACATATATCTAGGGCTTTTGCTTGGCACAGATGTTTGCTACAATTTCTAATATCAACCAGGTGTTTAGCCAAAATTGCTCTTTAGGCTTAGACATACACAACTGTATTTCTCAGTCACCCATCAGAAAGCAGTAGAAGCTCCAGGTAGCAAGTCTTTGGTGAGTCAGACCAGCTACATCATAGTCTCTGTGCCCAGGGGCTGTGGATATCATTCAGCCTGGCTTAACTAGCCCATTGGAATGAGAGCTGTCTAATTCACCTCTAATACAGACAAGAAGCACCTTTATATTGTTGCATGGGAATTCTTAACTTCAGTTACTTGAACAGAGGTATTCAGTTGTAACCATTAGGATCAGTATAGCACAGTGTTGCCCAAATTTGCTTGGTGATAAAAATCACTTGGGGTCAGGGCCAACTTCATGAGCTTGTGACCAGTGCACTTGCAAAGGGTCCTACATTCAAGAGGATCCCGCATTTGGAATTCAAGGCTTTGCATTTGTGTTTTGTAACTCAAGTCCCATGACACAATGGGGCATGCTTGCTCTGGGGACTTGGAACCTCTGATCACTGCAGCCTCTCCTCTCACCACCTGCAGAGGATGGATTCTTGATGTCCCAGTCCCCTGTTCCCTGGTGCCTTGGCCAGCCTTCCTTCTCCCCGCCCCCCCCCATATTTGCCCAATGACCACTGTCACCCCCCCATCCACGGCACACTGGCATAATGCCCCTCTTCATCCCCAAGAGTTACCATGGTCACCTTCCTCTTGCACAGTCATAGGGAATGTGGAGGCGGGGTGCACACACCCTGTGCCTTTTTGGGAGGGGGCATGGCCACATGGCATCTCAGGACCAAAAATATGTCCCAGTGCACTTGGAGGGTGAGTGGCGAGGGCGAGCTCCTTGCCTACCTCCATTCCAGGTACTGAGCACATCCTGGCATGGAAGTTGCAATCGCTTGGGAATCTCCCTCTGTGGGGGACTGCTGCCGTGGGCTAGTGGGAAGGGAAGATTGACTTAGCCTTCCCACTGCTGGGGCACAGGGCATCAGGGGGGTGCTTGGCAGGAGGGGGGACCCGACAGCTGAAGGGTGCATTTATGCTTGCATGCTACATCGCAGGGTGCAGCTCCTGGGTGCTTGTGAGTATCTGCCCTCCCAGTAAATATGCCCCATGCCTGAGGAGCATGACATTAAACAGTAAATTAAAAACCCGTGACAGGTTGCCAGAGACCACAGAGGAAAGGGAAGCCTTCTGTATTTTAGTGTCTTCTATGCCTTTTTTTTTCCCTGGCTTTTGAACCCGGGTACCACATTTTTATCTTGCACTGACCTCCACAAATTTGTAGCCACATCTGCCCGGGGTGAGCACTTTTAAACTATAAAGGTCACCACGCCTTGGAAATTCTGAAACAGAATTTCTCAAATTTAATTATGCATAAGGATATTCCGGAAATCTTCATGTTCTCCTGGTCCACTCACCAAATAATGTGATTACATGTGGGCGGGTCCCCAAATCTCCATTTTACAAACATCCCAGAGGGTTCTACTGCAATTGATCCACTGACCACACTTGGAAAATTACTGGGTGTTTAGGAGCATAGATACCGAAGCCAGGCCGACTTGGGTTGGCATCTTAGCTTCACTACTAGCTAACCTTAGGGTAGTTAATGTGTATATAAACTTCAGTTAGCTCATTTATAAATGTAAATATTAATATCACTCCCCAAAGTGTTGTGAGGATTAAATGTACATAAAACACTTAGCACAATGATTAGTTCATAGTAAGTAATCAATAAATGTTCAAAAAAAATTAAGAAGATTGTTGAGTTTGGAGGGTGAGTACACTGATGTTTACTATACTATTATGGGAGTTTTCCTACATTTTTTTCTTTATTTATTTGCAATTATGAGTTTTCCCATATTTTTTACAACTCTTCAAAATAAAAAGCAACAGATAGAACAAGAGGAAAAGCTAGAGTATGGAAAAGGGGGTCAGAAGCTTACAATGAGTCAGCCCCATAGGTCTCCTGGTAGGAGGAGGCTAGTGCTTTGGTGTCTAGGACTTAGTAGGTGTTCAGTAAATTGAATTCAGGACAAAAAGAATCTTCACTAGAACGTCCCCCAAGGACCTTCTCAGACTCACATTGAAAGGATCGACCACTCCCTTGATGAATGAGCTGTTTTACCCCTGGGGCTGTGTGTGCTTCCCTAAAAGGGCGTTTGTTCACAGCGGCTAGTCAGCGCCCACAAAGGGTTTACCGAATGTTGAGTGTGCCCTCTAGTGTTCACCTTCTCAGCTTTCATCCTGAAGAAGCGGATCAAGGCACTTGCTTACCCTGGAATTGAAATTCTCCACGTTGATCTAGACATTGAGGTGGTAAAATAGTCATTGTCCATTCTGATTATGCAATAAATCCACAGACAAAAGACTGGATTGGTCTCTTATCTACTAATGACCAGGCTCAAAGCAGCACCCAAAAACCTTTGTCCACTTTGCCCCCAAATAAGGCAGAAGTAAGTACACCTTTTAGGACAAAGGCAGCTGACAGATCCAGCCAAGGGCAGTGGAATATGGTTAGGGGCGATAGAAGAACGCATGAGCCCTGCCTGGATAGGTCTCGTTTCATAATATTCCGGTTTGGAAAGGGCTTGAAAAGACCTCCTGAAAAAAAATCCGTTTTTCTCTTCAAAGAAACTGTTGCGAAAAGATTTCCTCCACCTGCAGGGATGGGAGACTCAATAATAACTCTTGATCTCGAGGAAGCAAGTCAGTGTGTTTCTGTATAAAATTCGTGTCATCAGAGAATCAGACTCATCTGGAAAAGGAATCTGAGGGCCCCAAAGCACCAAAAGCAGCTGTTCCCTCATATTTGCCTCATCTAGAGCTCCCCATGGCTCTCCCTGTGTGTTCTCTTCAAGACAGTTGTGATGGTGATCCAGAAGCACGAATTCATTTGCAAAGCTGACCCTTTCCAGAAACACTCCAGTTCTGCCGGCACCTACAAGCCAACTTTTGCCCACTCTTCCTATACACAGCACACTTATTTATTTATTTACTTATGTATTTATCTATTTATTAAAATAAGCAGTATTTTAAAGATTTTATTGGGGAATTGGAAAAGTGAACAGTGTTGGGGAATTGGGGAAGGGGAACATTGTGTTTTTCCAGGACCCATCAGCTCCAAGTCCAGTTGCAGCTTTCAATCTAGTTGGGGGCGGGGAAGGAGCGCAGGCGCAGCCCACCATCCCATGTGGGAGTCTAACCGACAACCTTGTTGTTAAGAGCACGCACTCTAACTAACTGAGCCACCCAGCCGGCCCCGGCACACATATTTATTTTGTTCTGGATCAAATATATTATGTCATAAGAGCCATAATTTTATTTTCACAGGTCGTTCTAAATGGTAAAATCGATGCATTCTGTGGAGGCGCCATCATTAATGAAAAATGGATCGTGACTGCAGCCCACTGTCTCAAACCTGGTGATGCTATTACTGTTGTCGCAGGTAAATAAACAAAAAAGGATGTAGTCTAGCATCAATATCTTCTATGTGACTGGTATATCGCATTTTACTAAGGTCTAATAAGATCATTGCTAAATAAGTTGGGCTAGTGGGGGGGGATCATATTTTCAAAACTCAACTTGTTCCATCCACCAAGCCCCCCCCAGAGTGCTTTTGGTATGCCTTTCCTAGCACTTAACTCAGTGGGGGACAATGATTTGTTGATATCTCCATTTTCCCACCAGACTGAGCCTTCCCCAAAGCTCTGTCATTATCACTGATCTTTGTATCCCTGGTGCCTGGCACAACCTGTAGCGGGCCCTCAGCAAACATTTGAATGAATGTATCATCCGCGCCCCCCCAAAAGGGCTCAAAATACTTGAAATTGGGCAAGTTTGGGATAACCCAGGACAAGTAGATTCATCATCACCTGTGACCAATGTAAGACTTGTAACACCCACCTCTATGATGAGTCCTGAATCACTTTCTGGTCTGAGAAGTATGCATTGGCCCTCATTACATTTTACCCAAATCATACCAATGTAAGCTTGAGCTCTTTGACACTTGGCTGCCAGTTAATTCAGTGATGCCAAGTGGACATTTTGAAAATCTTTTTTTTTTAATTGTATTGGGAAACAGTCATCATCATTGGTTACACATTGCTTTCATGCTACAATGGCATAGTCGACTCTTTTAGGGAGGGCGCAGCTCACAGTGGCCCATGAGGGGATCGAACCAGCAGCCTTGGTGTTATCAGCACCACGCTCTAACCAACTGAGCTAACTGCTCAACCCTGAATATCTGTTTATGTGAAAGACTATTTGTGACTGAAGAGGAATTTATTTTCAAGGGGCGACATGCCATTTAAGTAACCCCAGTTCAGTAAGTGATGCTAGGTAGACACCTGGAAAATGTGTTTCTTAGTGGGGGAGACTGACTGAAAAAGAAATTTCTTTTCAATAGGTGAATATAACACTCAGGAGGAGGAGCATACAGAGCAAAAGCGAAATGTGATTCGCGTTATTCCGCACCACAATTACAATGCAACTATTAATAAGTACAACCATGACATTGCCCTCCTGGAACTGGATAAACCCTTAACGCTAAACAGCTACGTAACACCTATTTGCATTGCTGACAAGGAATACACGAGCATCTTCCTCGCATTTGGGTCTGGCTATGTGAGTGGCTGGGGGAAAGTCTTCAACAGAGGGAGAGCAGCTTCAATTCTTCAGTACCTTCAAGTTCCACTTGTTGACCGGGCCAGATGCCTTCGCTCCACCAAGTTCACCATCTATAGTAATATGTTCTGTGCTGGCTTCCATGAGGGAGGTAAAGATTCATGCCAAGGAGATAGTGGGGGACCCCATGTTACAGAAGTAGAAGGCACCAATTTCTTAACTGGAATCATTAGCTGGGGTGAAGAGTGCGCAGTGAAAGGAAAATACGGAATATATACCAAGGTATCTGCGTATGTCAATTGGATTAAGAAAAAAACAAAGCTCACTTAAAGAAAAATGTATTTCTAAGATGGGCATATTCGGGATTGAAAATGAACAAGGTCCTTTACTAACTAATCACTTTCTATCTCTTTAGATTTGAATATATACATTCTACGAATACTGTTTTTCTCTTCACAGGGAGAAGTCCATCTAGAATTCACATTTTACTAGAGTACGTAGATTAGAAAACGTAATCACTAGAGAAATAAACTGTGGTAGGAATTTGTGACTATTCCTACAGGTCCAGCCCTTGACAAAACTGTGAAGTTAACTTCTTCATATTGCCCACCAGGCACTGTGTTTCTCCACTGAGGCAATTCCCAAATTCTCTCTCCTTAGCAGCATTCCATGTTCCAGATCTTTCTTACCTCTCCCACCAAACCATCAAAATTGATTAGATCTGTATCCAGGATATTTGGTCTAGTCCATCACAAAGCTGGCACCACACTCATAAAGGGAGAACACAGGAGCTTCTGACAGGTTAAAACTCATCAGAAACACTGCTTCTTTTTCTGTACCCTTATTCCTGGATCCTTAATCTTAATATTCAACTCTCTCCCTCCCTCCCTCCCTCCCTGATTCCCTACCCAGGGATAAAGGAGGGAAGGGGAGCATCATACTTTTTTACTAGAATACACGATTATATATGTCTATCAAACCCAGACTTGCTTTCAGTTTGGTCTTGGACCTGCTTTCAGACCATAGGGAAAGGAGTAAAGGCCTGAAAATCTTGGGGGAAAAGTTCCTCTCAGAGTGTCATGTTATTAAAAAACATACATCATGGAAGAAATGACCTATCAGAATAGTTCCCTAAGAGCTTGTAATTCTGTTGTTATGGAGGACTGACTAGAGATGGTTCTATGAAGGCAAACTGATGTGTCACTGTCACTAGGAATGCTAACATCAACCCAGGCGTATTGTTCCCCCATCTGAAACAAAAAACATTAACAGAAAGGGAACAGTCAATTTGCAATCTAGAACCACTAGTGTCTACAAGGAAGAATTTATCAGTGTGTCTCTAGTACTGACCAGGACTAAGCAAGAAGTTGCCCAGACCAGAGAATGTGAGCATCACGTCTCCTTAACTAGCGTAGCCCCACAGTGGAGAAGGATGCGCCAGGCTCACAGACATGAGTCACTCCAGCGAGCCAACTAACTTCCCCTTTTCTGGTTTCATGCTCAGCAAGCAACTTTTTCATTATAATTAGGCCTCCTGTATTGAATTTTCTAGAGGGTTGCTGAGCAAGCAACATATATACTTCAATCTATTAGACAGAGTATTTCCCTTTAAGAATCAATAAGCTGGTGTTCTGGTTCATACCTCAGCTTTTTGTGAATTTGGTTGATGTGAATCGGTCACCCTGCACTTGATGACATGTGGCACTGCTGACAAAATCAGGTTTGGGACCACCGTGACCCCACTGAGCTACTGCTTCTTTGGCTCTTACCTCACCCCCAGCCAGGCCTTGCTGACTTCTTTCAAGTTATTCTAGTGTATGCCTTTTAACTTCAGTCTTTTAAATCCAAGTATCAATAAATGTACTTTTCAATTTCTCCAAAAGCGTTTCTTGTTGAATCACAGAGAAGGATCCCAAACACAGCAGAACAAGCAGAAGGCTGTGTCCAAATGCAATACAACACAGCAGAGATTGGAGGGTGTTATCCTCCAGCTTTCACGTGAGGCAGTGTGGACCAACCTGGGACAGAATTGAGTCTAAGCAGCTGTTAATATGTTCTTGCATAAATCACTCCACATTTTGGGCTTTGATCTCCCATTTGCATAATGAGAGGGTTTGACTGGATGCTCTCCAAAGGCCCCTGTTGACCTTGATGGTCTGTGATTTTTTTTTAAGATTTTTATTGGGGAATTGGGGGATGGGAACAGCGCTGGGGAATTGGGGAAGGGGAACAGACAAGTTGCTGTCCTTTTGTTCTTCAGTCTAGTTGTGGAGGACGTTGCTTCACTGGCCCAAGTTGGCACCATCATTGCGCTCTTCCCGGGCGAGGCAGATCAGTCGCCGGCTTCTGGACGGCCGCTCACGGTGGATGCTGGCTACTTACGCTGGCTGCTGGCCACACACGGTAGCCCATGGCAACCCACTGCAGCAGGGGCTGCAGCCTACGCCGTCGCCGGCAACTCATGGCAACCCAGCTCCAGGTTGAGCTGTTGTTCAGCATCTTAGCTGTAGAGGGCAGTGTCACTGACCCTCATATGTGGGATCCGAACCAGGGCCCTCTGGCATCCCAAGCCAGCTCTTAACCAATGTGCCACTCGGCCAGCCCGATGGTCTGTGATTTTATTCCTTTATTCAAAAAATATTCACCAAGAGCTTACTGGGTGCCAAACACTAATAGCGTCCATGAACTTTGGATCCACATTTATATATTTTGTGAGTTAACTACAATAGTGTATGTGAATTGCTTTGACAGCGCCTACTCCATTACTACATAGTAGATGCTCAATAAATGTGAGCTGAATCAGAATCCATATTTATTCCAGAGTGGGAACGAGTCTTGTATTTAGTGTCATGAAAGGAGACCATACTTAAAATAAAAATAGTAAGTGGGATTGAGGTTTCCTGAATACACGAAAAGAAATCAGTTCTGCTATTGTTGGCTAACAGAGGGAAAGAGAGAAGAGACACTGTAATTCTCCCCCTTAGGTTTAAGGAGGATATTAATTTATGCATGACAACCTGTTACTTCATATTTGAATGACTAAAGGTCTGTAGTCCCCAGTGCTCTGCAATTGGTAAAAGTGAGCCACTCTGGCCTTGTTGCCATGGAGACCACCCCTGACAGAGGCAGCAGCGGGGAGAAGCTCCTGGGCCCATAAATCTCCAAGCCACAGTTATTCTTTTCCCCACCAGCTGAATTGATCATGAGCCACCTGCAGCCCATTGCCACTGTTAAACGTGTAGGTCCTCTAAGCCCACATAAGAGCCAGGGGCTTCAAAGCAAGGCACATGTTAGGTCCCACTGAGGGCATTTGCAGTCCTCATACAAGAATCGTTGGTGCTTTTACAATGGCTGCAGGTACTTAACCTAAATGGGCTGCAACATGCCGCTGCAATATTGGGAGTGACAGATTAAAACAGAACTCTTGCTGAATGGAGAAAAGTGTGTGCATGCAGAGTGGTCATTGTAACCTGCTGTTTAACTGGTTTTGGTTCTTTTGAATAGTAGTCGCTTCGTGGTGACATAAACGAAGTACGATTCAATTTTCTCTGCCAAGGGATAAAGAAAGGGTTTCCTCCCCCATTCTTCTGAACCACAACAGACCAGTTCACAAAGCTGCCTCATTATAATTTTGCAACAACTCCTGAATGCTTACAGTGCAATCTAAGGATGTCAGAGCTGCAAGGGTCCTTAGACACCATCCAAACTACTCTGCCCATTTAACAGATGAGGAAATTGAGGCCAAGATAAGGCCAGAGCCACTAGAACTCAGGTCTCCCACTCCATACTACAAAAGCATAATGCTTTCAACTGGAGCACTGTCTATATGTTTAGAGCCGCTGGGGGAATTCTGTGTTGGTGGCCATCCTTTCAGCAAACCTGGGACTGAAAACTGCCTGGACTTCTTGCTAACAATGCTCTAACTGACAAACAGGTGACCAAATCAAGACCAACAGAAAGCCCAGAAAGCACTAGAGTGGCCGTCACATAACAAACTGGAGCTGCAGTCCTCGTCTCCTAGGAGACATTCAGTAAACACACGTGGACTAAACCTGTGCTGCTGGTGCCTGGCTTTTAGCCCAATGTGAGCACTGGGCCTTCCAGATATGACATTGGACTTCTAGAGCAAGTTCATCGGTGTCATCTGGCACCGTCATTCCGGCAACATTTCAACTCGCTTTCATTGCAACTCTGTCGGGTGAGACATGTGGCACACCGAGACAGCAGGCTGTTCCAGAGGCTGTTTGAGGGTGGAAGGAAGGCTTCAAAGGCCCACTGAAGCTGGGATTCTAACAGTGTAGTGCAGATGTGGGTGTCTGGAAAACAGGCTTCAGTGTCTGACAGGCCCGCATGAGTAAAGCACGCAGGAACCAGTGCTCTGTTTGAATCTGAAGCTTATGCCACCTCGAAATCTCATGGTGGAAACCACACCGATGAAATGCTCTGCAAACTATCGAGGCTGCTGAAGGAGTCACAGCAGGCAAAAGACGGTAGTCCCCCCAGCCTTTTCAACCAGTCCAGATACACAGTTCATTCATTCTACTCCTTTTCTTTACCGATCCTTTCAAGGCAGACCTTTTTCACTCTGTCTTCAGGGTTATGGCTCACCTTGAGATTTCCAGAGTTCATCTCAACCTCTAGTACAGGTAAAGGTATCAGAAGGAAAGAGCAGCAGGGAGACCCTTTCTTATACATAAAGAGGCAACACCAGCGTGAGCGGCCAGCAGCCGCAGTGAGCGGCCGTCCAGAAGCCGGCGACTGATCTGCCTCACCAGAGAAGAGCGCAATGATGGTGCCAACTTGGGCCAGTGAAGCGACATCCTCCACAACTAGACTGAAGAACAAAAGGACAGCAGCTTGTCTGTTCCCCTTCCCCCAACTCCCCCCCCCCCCAAAAAAAAGAGGCAACAGCTTCTATAACAGGGCCAAATTATCTCCACACCCTCACAGGAGAGTAGTATTTCAAACTCCTGGCCAGGTCATTTCACTCTGGTAGGAGAGTTTCCTCTGTGATTGAGAGAAAAATGGAAATAGGAACAGGGATATCCCTGATTCCAAAGACCTCCTTTCAAAATGTTGCTTCATTGCAATGTTAAATATGAGATCCTAATCTATAAAATGCTGCCAACACAATAAATATCCCGGATGCTGTCACTCTTACCAACTTTTAGAAATGCTGTAGTGCATAGCTTCTCCAGATCAATAACCGTGAAGTGGCTTAACTGCTCTGACCTCGTAAAGAAAAGGGGTCTCATGATTTACACATCACATGCTTTAGTAAAGATCTATACACAAAAATCTAGTTTCCTTTTGGAATATTCTACAAAAATAAGCTTGCATTTTCATGATATGAAAACTCAGCTCTAAAAGTAAGAAGCCAGGGGCAGCTGGTTAGCTCAGGTGTGCAGAGCGCAGTGCTCATAACGCCAAGGTTGCCGGTTCGATCCCCACATGGACCACTGAGTTGTGCCCTCCACAACTAGATTGAAAACAACTACTTGACTTGGAGCTGATGGGTCCTGGAAAAACACAGTTCCCCAATAAATAAAAGAAGCCAAATTAAGACTGCAACAAATCTCTGAGAAACGCAGTGCATGATTGTTAATGAACCAATATATGAATGAAATGGGAGAAAAAAAGCTACCGACCACATAGTGCAAAACTCAGTCATCTAAGGAAGGAATGAGAGAGTCATCCTGAGTCCATAAAGGAATACGCCACAAGAAGGGAGACAGACAAATATAGAAAGAGAGATCTCCTACATTTATTTCTTTCCAAGGATATAAAGAGTTGTCACTAATTTCCAGGAAATGTAAAAAAGATGAGCCTAGAAGACTATAGTTACAGCCCTGGCCTATTCCTCTACCATTTACATTTACTGCTTTTGTGTTTCTGTTCTCCAAAGCCGTATTCACCTTTCTTGTCTACACTTTGTCTCCTCATTTTGGTAGGTATTTTGTAGTTGGCTGTACCTTGTGGGGTTTTTTTTTGAGTCAACTATTGGCTTTCACCTGGATTTTGAAGTTTTATATCTGAATCAAAGTGTCATTCTTGGCCACAGAGATTTAATTTCTCCCAATACACCTCCCATATTTTCCACTGTCCATACTCTTTTCCATATGCTGTTTCCAGTCCTAGACAATCATGATAAATATCAGAATCTCTGCTTCCTTACTTTAGAAAATGTAAATTTGGGTAACAGATATGCTAAAAGGGTAGCTTCACATTACCTAATGGTGAGTTATAATTCAGAAATCTTAGCACACTCCAAAAAGGAATTTTACTGAACATTTACTATGGGCCTAGCACTATATTTCATAAGACACAATCAATGATGTGCTCGAATTGGCTTATACCAACTCATAAATGACAATTTTGCAAATCTCTTTCTAATTCCCAGTTCAGAGACTTCATGTCATTAGCTTGAAATCCACCATGGTATGGATATTTACACCATAGTTACTGACAAATGCTACAAATAAGGAATTTTTATGAGACCCAGTTGTTTAACATTTACCAACATACCAACATAACCTAATTATTTGACTAACAATTCATCAGTTTTACAGTCCTGCTACTCAATTATTGCTGAGTGAACACTAAATACACTGTAAATTAAAATGGAAAGTTATTTAAGGAAGCTAAATGTTTATGAGCTAGGAATATTGAAAAATCAGACCTTTAAAGTTGTTCTCAGATGGCAACAGGTAGTTAATTTATGCTATAAAATATAACATTTCTTAAGTGCAATTATTTCTCCTACATGACATATTCATACATTGTTAAGTCAACAAAGTTTTAATCTATGGTAGTTTTCTGCTGCTATGTTAGTTCGTAGTAATTTGTAAGATATTTATAAAGACTGCAGAAAAGAGTTCTTAA